CAAGGTAAGAACACCAGCCGTCCCCAGGTCAGCTGCTGCTGAAACTGATCAGCAACTGATTCCAGGAAGCCCAGGACAGAGCAACTCTGCCTCGGGCTTCCTGTAGTCAGCCGCTGGTCAGTTTCAGCAGCGGCTGAATCTGGATGCTAGTTCCGACTTACATACAGATTCAACTTAAGAACAAACCTACAGTCCCTATCTTGTACGTAACCCGGGGACTGCCTGTATTGGTTTTTTTTGTATTATCATAGCACCTCCATATCATTTAGTCATGGACCAGGACTCCATTGTTCCAGGTAGTGTGCAAACACCGCTGGTCAGTTTCAGCAGCGGCTGAATCTGGATGCTAGTTCCGACTTACATACAGATTCAACTTAAGAACAAACCTACAGTCCCTATCTTGTACGTAACCCGGGGACTGCCTGTATTGGTTTTTTTTGTATTATCATAGCACCTCCATATCATTTAGTCATGGACCAGGACTCCATTGTTCCAGGTAGTGTGCAAACACAGAACAGAAAGATGGCTCCTGCTCCAAATAGTTTATAATCCAAGTATAAGACCAGAAAGAGATGAAGAAAAGCAAATAGAAAGGGGGTACAGGTACCTGCTTCTTCTGGGCCTCGGGGGTGCTCCAGTCTCATCCTGCCCTATTCCCTGAGCACACTCTGTCTCTGCTTCTCCCACATGCTACATAAAAAATGATTGTGACAAGTGGTAGGCGGTGGGTGGGAGGAGCTGATCTGTAAGGAAGGTGGGAGGTGTTGGGATGGAGGTGGAAGCTGGCTGCCAGTGGGTACCACAAACACCCACTATTTTTTTTTCATGGGTGTTCCAAGGCTGCAACAACCACAGAGTTGGCATGTATGGACAGGGGAGTAAATATTCAGCATGATAGGCAGTGGCTGATGCAATCTAATTGTTCTTCTTCAAGGGTCCCCATGGGTGCTCCACTTACGTGTGTCAGCGCTGCTGCGCACACAACCTGGAGATCTTTGCTAGCAGTCTCTCAGCTACCGGCGTGTGCTGCGCTATTGTGCAGTCACTAAGAATGACAGTTAGGCATCAATTTTTAATGGAAAAATTGACCCCACATAGCACGTTTTCGCTTAGCACAAACATTTTCAGAAACGCTTCTATAGTGTTAAATGAGGAATTACTGTATACAAGTACCATTATATTAATCAGCATATTGAGCATGAAACTGAAGCCGTAGGAAAGTATGGCATACATAGAGTATGGAGACCTTGGACTTATTCCTGGTTCTGCCACAGTCCTGCTAGGTGATCTTGGGAAAACCACTTCATCTCTGTGATTCAGTTTTCCTCATCTTTAATATGGAGATAAAAATACTTGCCTTCTTTGTGAAGTAGTTTGAAGTTTACTGACTAAGAGCTAGTATAATTTTAATATGGTAATAAAATGATACTTAAAAATTAATGTTACATCTAATTAAAGAGATTGCTCTATACTGCTGGCATTATTACTACATTATGAGTATTGTGGTAGTAACTACAAAGTGTCAAAGGTTGGGGAAAGTCCTTCATTTTCACCAGATAAAATTTCAAGTCTGAACTTCCCAGGTCTGGAGTCAAATGGTAAGTATTCAGCTTGAAGCTCATCATTTTCCAGTACAGTCATATTGGCATTATAAACCTTTGCTGCATCATACAGTCCTCCTGATATCACCAGTGTGTCATCTGGAGAAGTGTAAATGTCAGCTGTAAAATATTGAAAGCATTGTTAAATATTATTACAGTATTATGTGGAGAGAGAAGTGTAGCAAATTCAAGCAAATCGCAAGGCCTAAAACCTTCACTATGCAAAGATGCATTCACATTTTACTTCTAGTTTGTATACCTGTGATTTGACTACATGTATTAAAGTAAAAATTATCAGAGGGGTAGCCATGTTAGTTTGTATCTGCAAAACCAATGAGGAGACCTGTGGCACCTTAGGGTGCGTCTACACTGTACCTGAAGCTCAAAATAAGCTGCACAATTTGAGCTACCCAAATTGTGTAGCTTATTTCGAGTCAATTTTGAAATAGCTTATTTGAAATTTGGCATTGTCTACACAGCACTTATTTCAAAACACATCACTATTCCAAAACGTCCCTTACTCCTCAGGGAGTCTGAATAGTGAGCCTGTTATATTTTGAAATAATGGGCATGCTCAAAAGACATGGAATCTCGAAATAGTGCTGCAGTATAGACGTAGCCTTAGAGATTAAGATTTATTTGGGCATAAAATTTACATGGGCAAAAACCTACTTTGTCACAAAGTTGTTTTTTGCCCACAAAAGCTTTATGCCCAAATAAATTGATTAGTCTCTGAAGTGCCACATGACTCCCATGTTGTTTTTTTAAAGTGAAAATGGAAATATAAACAAACATCATTGCATTCCAGGCACTAATCCAGATAGCAAATGAAAAATGAGCGAATCTACTTCTTTGTAATATATATTTTGACTTGTACACTCTTCAAGTAATAATGTAGTAGAAATTATCTGATTCTAACAAATTGTGATGATCTGAATTTTAATAAAATAACCTTAAATAAAAGAAGGAATAGAAGAACTAGGGAACACTGAAAAAGTGCCACATTGTTTTGGGTGAGTGGCATTAAAAAGAGGGGGTTATGGTAGAAGTACTTAGACAAATCTTCAGATGGTTAGCAGGAAATATGTTCTGAGTAAAAATCTGAGAGACCTCCCCCCTCAGATGTGTCATTTTAACACAAGATTTTATTAACTCCTTAATTGTCAGCCAGCTGGCCTTTCAATAATCCATGAAAGATATTACAGTAAGTACAAAATATCACTATTATTACATGGAAATTTGGGTTTATTTATATCAATTCACTCAGGAAAATAGTATATTTTAAAGGTCATAATTTATAGTACCTGAAGCAATTGACAACAATTAAAACATTTATGCATTTACCTATGCATTTTTATTTCAAAATTTAGACTAAAATTCTGCTTAGTTATCCCAGATCCCTCTTATCTGTGCAGTATCATTTAGTTCAAGAAAACTGTATTCTTCAGCCATTATCTGTAAAAAATATAAGTAGCACAAGCATATCTCTAGCTGACATTTTCTCAATGCTTGTATGTATTAGTTATACAAAGAAATATTTGGATAATTATCTGTCAATGGCTTCTTAATTTAAATTTGTTATTGTTTACAAATATATTAGGCATATTTGGGTATGCCTATACACTGCATTCCTCTTTTGAGAGAGGAATGCAAATGCAGAGGAACAAAATTACAAATGAAGCGTGAATTTGAATTTCCCGTGCTTCATTAGCATAATCGCATCCGGGCGCTATTTCAGAAAAAGAAACTATATGTTGATGCGGTTATTTCGAAAGAAAACCCTTCTTTCGAAATTACCCTTCCTCCTTATAAAATGAGGTTTAAGGGTAATTTCGAAAGAAGGGTTTTCTTTCGAAATAACCGCATCAACATATAGTTTCTTTTTCTGAAATTTCCCGGATGCAATTATGCAAGTGAAGCGTGGGAAATTCAAATCTGTGCTTCATTTGCAGTTTCTCTCAGCTGCATTTGCATTCCTCTGTCGAAAGAGGAATGCAATATAGACATACCCTTGGTGAATCACTTCCTTTAACTCAGCTAATTTATACATTAAATATGTACACATTATACATTTATTATACTACATTTTACTTTGTGAAGTTAATCCACATAACCAGTTCTCAGGAGGGTATAGCCTTTCAGAACTTGATCTCTAAAGCATCTCACTAACTAGTGAGAGGTACAGTTAGTATCTGCAAATACTAAATAATCAATTTCAGTAAGTGACTCTAATGACCAATGAAAAAATTCTGATAAAATGAATTACCAGATTATCCAAAAATAAGTGGATGTTATTGAAAGTGCTGTCTCATTTGCATTTGTCACCACTGCTATAGTCAGTAGAAGACAAAACAAGCACTAGAGATAAAGAGCACAGAGCAAAATCTTTTTTTAATTGTTCTGGGGACTTTTACTAATACATCCCTACTGTAAGCGAAAGAACTAAATACCTTGAAATATTTCCAGATTTATTTGTAGGATAGTGTACCAGTACAAAGGATTCTTTGGCTTGTCACAATGTCATCAACAGCTCTGAAGATTTACTGTGACGAAATTAACAAGCAGATTTTTGCCAAAACTGTCACTGGCTGTCTTTTCAATTTGCACTTCATTTAAAGTTATGGAAATATAGGCCTTCCATTAATGAAATATGCTCCAGTGGATGTAAGCCAAGTGGATGTAACAAAAAGTCCATGGTACCCATATGCTTTCTTGCTTTCTTAAATGATAAATATTTGAGGCTCTTCCTACTTCTGTGGAAGCACTGGTGCAAAAGTTGGCATTTGGTGTGGTGTGCTTGTTATGCATTTTCTGGCCTTGTTTTTGCTACTAAAAAGTTGTTTTACCTTGGAGTAACTAAGTCATCTTTATATAAACACACAATAAAAATGGGGCACTTGGGTTTTACTGCAACAGACAGTAGGTCAGGTCAATGCCACATGATATAATGCTAACCTCTCTAGTCTATCTTGCAATAAAACTAATGTTCCCTGTTCTCATTCTTTCCGGTCTGAATTTGGCTAAGCCATTTTAAGCATCTAAAGATGCATACAAGTGCCTAATGGTTTTTTAAAACCCCTCAGATTAGGTTTCTAAATAACTTTGAAAATCTGGCCCTTCATGTTTAAGGATTTTTCATGGTTGCTGTTTCATTTAACGTAATTCATTTAATTAAAACATAAATAAATATTTAGTATAACAGTTGTCCACATTGTAATTGGAAAAGATAGTAAGTTCTCACTTCTAATCAAAAGTAACATCTTCAGCAGTTATAAATTAGTACATCTCTATTGATATCTTTTGACGGATACTGATTTACAACCGCTGAAGATCTGGTAATTACAGACTATTGTGTGGCATTACTTTATACCAGTAGTTCTTAACCTGTGGCCCATGATCTCCTTGCAGCACAGTCAACACATAGCTGTAGCACATGTTACATCCTCAGGGCTATATAGATAGTAATATAGTATAGATATGGCCCACATAACATATAGGGAGCTGTATATGTAGCCCACAATGGTAAATAGGCTAAGAAACGCTGCTTTATGCTGTTAAAAAAGCTACCACTCTCTTCCTTAGTGGTTGCCTTAAATAAACAATTTGTAGTGTGTACATGTAGAATGCAAGCTCTGATATATGATACATCTTATTAAAAATATGCTAACCTGTTTCAGAAGAGGTGTCATGTAGCCGATGATGAGAATACTGAGCTCTTCTCTTCCTGTACGTATCAAGACTACATATGACAATTGCTAGAACAACAAATGTGAGGGTGCTGCTGAAACTAATGGTCAGAATGGTCTCTGAGTTCCTTAGATGAGTTCCTCCTGTTTTAATAAAATAATTTAGAAATTGATTCTTATTTTACAGCTACACAAAACAACAAATCTCAGTCTTAAGATTTCGGTATCACAATACACAAGGTTTTCATGTGCTAACCCATCCCTTAAAAAAACCTCCCTAAAATAGATTTTAATTGCCTTAATTTCCTGCAGGTGGGACCTTCCTTGTCCAGCACCCTTGGGACCTGACCAGTCCCAAAGCAGGGAGTTTGCTAGACAAGGGAAGATCAGTGCTGGTCCTTCTACTGCGGGCATCCAGGCTCTCCTGGAGAGTCACCAGCTTCCTTGCCACTGGGTTTGCTGGCTGCCAAGCTTTGCTCTTGGCCACTGACCACTCCCGCCAGCCCTAGACACTGGGCTTCTTGCTGCCAGCCCCCTACCACTGGTTCGGTTGTGCTCTCAGCTGCTTCCCTCCCTTTCACCAGCCCAGCTGTGCGCTCAGCCCACATGGGCTTCCAGCTGCCATTGTGCAACCTAGCAGCAACACACCTAAGATGCAATGAGTCTTGTAGTAAAGTCTGGTTATAATATAGTTTGTATTTTCAAAGTAATGTTTGGGTTTGATCCTCCCAGGTCAAAGATCAAAGATATAACATATGGTCAAAATTTATAAAATTTAGGTAACTCAACTTAGTTAAATTTATAGCTAGGTCCTTAAATTAAAATGACTTTATTTTCACAGAGCCTGAGGGGCAGCTTCCATTGAAGACAATAGGACTGTGGATGATGAGCCCTATGAAAATCAGATTGTAAGGGCCTAACTATGGATATAGTTACCTAATGTTAAGTCACTAGCCCGTTAAAATGTCGGCTTATGTGATTATTTGTCTTCATTATGTTGCTTGCGTAGTTCCCCAATTCCCGTTCTATCAACCTGTACCTACTTTCCAGGTATCATGGGTGACTCTCTCTCTCATACTCCTTCATGCCTTGGGTTCAGTATGTCTCTGTTTATGGCCTTTCTTATCTCTGTATTCCACTTTCTCATCTTTTTTTTTTCTTTTCTGTATAATTTTGATTGATTAATTTTCTGATTAATTAATTTTTAAGTAATTAATTCCCCCCCCCCCTTCCTTTCCAGGAATCCTCTTTAGGTCCTTGGCTCAACAGAAGTTTCATTTTTTGGGTGGCCCACTGGCATCTCTTTTAACTGAGCTGAGTGTCATGGGAACAGAAGAGAAAAGCTTGAGCTGATACTTTGTTCCCAGAGTTTGAGGCCCTGAACATGTAAGTTGGGGGAGAATGCTGGTGCTCTGAAAGCATTGTCACATTTGCTGTGTGTACATGATGAACCCCAGGGCCTGCTGCCATTGCTTCTTTCCAGCAAGGGGTCGGACACAGTGAACTACTCTGACTTTGGAGGCTAGGAAATAGTGCCATAGAATTTAATGACACTTACCTGAAACCTGTGATATAGGAACTGAATCTAAAGCTTTGCTAGTATTTACTTGTGTGGCTGTAGAGGACTGAGCTGTTGGTTTCAATGTGATTGAAGACATTCTGGGATTAGAATCTTTATCAGTTGCTTGATTAAAGGTTGAAACTGTAGGTGTTGATGTCACAACAGTGTTGAACCTAATAGAAATATCTGATGGGCTGTTAGTGTCTGTATTGGTGGGATGTAGCATGCTTTGTGCTAAATGAGACAAGGTTGTTAAAGCCAATGAACTAGTAATCTTTTCAGTCATGGCAATTGTATTCCAGCTGGCACTTGCATTCTGCACTGTGGTTGTATTAACAGCTTCTTTATCTGAAATGGTAGATATTGCAATGCTTCTAGATATGGTTGTATTTCCAGATTCATAAGATGTTGCTTCTGTTTGAATGTCTTCATTCACGTTGGGGGGCTGATCTGTAGCCTGAACAGAAAACACCACTGTATGATAAATCAATAGGAGCTTGAGGCACACTTGTTGTGTTCCATCCATTATGGCTTCTCACTCTTCCTGTTTAGCCGAAGATTTAACTTTCTCTGTACACATATACAAACAAACAACAGCCATGAAGACAAGCAAAATAGGTTAACTTAGTATCTCTAGGTTAGTTCCTGCAGGACTATGAGAGTAGCTGAGATTTATTGGGATTTGAGGGATTTGCTTGTCTACACAGGGACACTCAGGAAACTACAGATTAAGGTGGTAGAGTTAAAAATTAAAATGTGAAGTCAAAGCAAGTATTCTGCAATATTCACTTAAAATTAACTGTTTCTGTGAAAGCTCTTGTCAGAAATATTCACTTAAAATTAGTAGTTTTTACCAACACTCTTGCCAATGAACCTATTTTCTAGATTTCTAGAAAACAAGGAGGAGGGGAAAAGGAGGTGGGTTGTAGGCAAACATAGTTGAAGCAAACATATATTAATGGAAAATTGTTTGCAGTACTTAGTCAGTTTCTGTGTTTACCTTGGGTTCCTGCTAAAATATGTAAATGTCAGATTAGTTTCTGTTATTATCACCTATGAACTTTTTTAAGCATGGGATTTTGGAATATTACCTATTTACTGCAAAAATTATTAGTTTGTTCTTATTGGTTCTATCAAGAATGCCAGAATTTGGGGATTTAGTGTAAACTTGGGCTGTGTTATCAATTGAGTTTCAGCCCTCATTCCTATTGCTACTCTTGCAGATTTAAATTATGGAAATCCCAAGAGGCCTCAGCTAGGGTAGGGCTCCATTGTGCTAGGAGCTATATAAGTGACAGTCTTGCATCAAAAAGCTTAGTTTGGGAGTATAAACTAGTTGTTTATTATGTTCTTTGATAAACAATAAAATAAACTAGAGTTGATACAGTACCTGAAACAACATTACACTTTCTAAGTAAAACCAACAAGTTTTCTTAATAACTGCAAAGAAACCCCAAATTTACAAACTCCAAATGAAATATCAAACACTTTTGGAATTTAAATCTACATTGCAAGCCAAGAATGTCCATGTACTTCCGGGTGAGTCGTAGCTGTGAGCCAACATTAATGACACATTTACGTTCAACACACTTCATTTTCTCTACTTAGTATTCAAAATAAGTGGAGTTTTTAAGTCCATATGGAAATATTAAATCAGAACAAATCTTACCAAAATAATACTTTCAGAACTCACCTAACCAATGAAACACAGTGGCACTTGTACCGGCAGGTAGTTCCAAGTAACAGATACACTGTCTTAACATGTTCCTGTTTATTCAGACTCTGGAATACACTCTGTGGAGAGCAGGGTGAAACACTGAGATGTCTCTATGGTAACCACTGGAGTTTTGAGATTAGTCAGGGATAAGTGCACTAGGGTTGGGTTCACCTGTCTATAAATCTAGCCAGGTCAGATTACAAAGAGAGGTGTGTGTCATGCTAGCAGTTACCAATAACTTAATTTCACAGTAGTTTTAAAAAGCAACGTTTGCAGACCTACAGACAATTTTAGACTCCTTTAAAGAATGTATGTAGCAATTTCTTTAATTGTTTTCCCTCAGATGTGGTGTAGGTGTTTAAATCTTCTTGCTATTGGCAATACCATTCTCCAATCAGAAACAATGACTTTTAGAAAACCTGTCAGACATGCATGATAGTTTTAGTAAAGGACAAATTAAACACAGAACAAAGTTTATACTCAATGTAACTTCTAAATACAAAAGGTCTGAAAAAAATTAAGGCACGGGAATTAAATGAAAGTAATAAAACAAAACCCAGGACATGTGAATCTCCATTATCACTGGGTTCCAGAGGCCCTTCCTTTCTGTGGGTATCACTATTATTCCTAGGTCTTGACTACCCACTTTTTTTTTAGCTAAAGCAGATTTCTTGTCTTTCTCTTCATTTCTAATCTCCCATGGTTTTGGATTTGCATTTCTTCGTAATCAATAGTACAAATTAAGAATTGTGGAAGGATGTGAATTTGATGATCTTCAATGTCTTGTTCATCTTACATACCTATATTAATCAAAAGAAGATGCAGAAATGAAAATCCTGATTCTCATTTACACTAAGATCACTTTACACCATTGAAACATGAAGAGGGTGTTAAGATGGGAATAAATTATATTTAGTATAAAAGAAAATCAGTCTCAGAATCTTTAGGTGAGCTGGTGCTTCTAGGTTGGAAATAAAAAGCAGATTTGACTGCATGTTATCTTATTTTTAGTGTGACACATTGTGGTACGTGGAAAGATAATGGGCTAAGTTCTGCTCTCACTAAACCTGAAACCAAAGGAACTCTGGGTTTAGAACAGTGTCAGTGATAGATTATGCCCAATGTGAATGTCTTGCCTTCTCCTCTTTATCCAACTGATATGCTAGCTTTTGAAAAGAAACTCAAGTTTATCGGAGAGCATGAAGCCTTTTCTGGATCAGATTTCATCTATATATCAATTTTGGGTTCAGGAACTAAGTCATCTCTTTTCATTCTGAAAAACCCTCCTGCCATTCTCTCACAATAGCACTATTAATATCTTGGATGCAAAAGAAAAGGAACAATGAACTTACCAGTGGAGTCCTCTTCCTGATTTAAGAGATCATCCCTTACCTGTGCTAAAGTACTAAGTCTCCTGAAGCCTATTAACTGAGTGAACATAAAAATTATGTCAGCAACACTCACAGGTAAATCATTAACATGCCATTTTGCATTCATGGCACAAGTGGAAAAGAGGCCCTTTTGTTTTCCTAGGTCGTTTAGGTCAAACTACAGCATCTGAAAAGCAGTGGCTGAAAATTGAATCGGGATATATTTGAATAGTTAAAGGGTTGACATGCTACAAAATGACTGGGAAATTTTAACTATCACCGCATCACTTGACAACTCACATAACAGACTATAATTAAAACAACTGGTGAACAGTAGACCTTTTGAAACAGACACACATGGAATCCAAAATGGCTAAAGCAGAAAATATTTTGCCACATTTGTTAATAACTACATATAGCAAAGCAGGTTGGAAATAAGTTTGGAAAATTACTTATTTTATAATAAAACCCAATTCAAATAAAAGTTTGTATTTTACAGAGCCAGCAGTGTAAGCTTTCTATCATATTCATTTTTAGACAGAGTATTTCAAATAAATGCTGGTATTTGTATTTCAGTTCAGAATAGTGCATGGGGGCATACATAACCTAAAAATGGAGCATACCTAAATTATTAGTGAGGGAAATATATAGGTTATTTCCAAAACTCTAAAACATCTACTTTCCGTTGCTCAACAGCTTGTTTTTTAGTTTGTTAAAAGATAACAAAATTAAAAGGAAATTTGTTTATACATTGTGCAACTAATTTGTAGAACTTATGCCACCAGATGTCATTGAAACCAAGATCCTGACAGGTTAAAACAAGGATTAGATTTTTATATGACGCTAGAGTTCATCCACAGTTGCATTACATGGATTGAGATAAGAACAGCCACACTGGGTCAGACCAATGATACATCTAGCCCGGTATCTTGTCTTCCAATAATGGTCAATGAAAGGTGCATCAGAGGGAATGAACAGAATAGGTAATCTTTAAGTGATGCATCATGTGTTGTCCATTCCCAGTTTCTGGGAAACAGGCTAAGGGCACCTCAGAGCATGGTTTGCATCCTTGTCCATTCTGGATAATAGCCATTGATTGACCCATCCATTAATTTATCTAGTTATTTTTTTAACCCTCATATTCTTGGCTTTCACAACATCTTCTGGCAAAGAGTTCCATAGGTTGACTGTGCATTCTGTGTAGAAATACTTCTTTTTGTTTTGTTTTAATTAATTTTACACACGCGATTACACACACACACACACATTTTAATCTCTTTTTACAATACATTTATAAAGGATATAAAGTGTCATACATTTAGGCATATAACAGAGCACTTAGCAATGTGGATTAGGAAGAAACTTCACATATGGGCAGGTTTCTCTCTAATTACCCACTAAAGGATTCTTGCACATTCTTCTGTAACTTTTGGTGTTGGTCACTTGTCAGATATGAGACTGGTGATGAAATTCTGATCTTGTCTGCAAAGTCTTGTGTTTTTAATCCATGAAAACATGTAATTGCCCTTTTTAAGCAGATGTAATTCTACTCCCTTTGTAAGGAAACAGCATAAAAGTAAGATTGAGTAGTGTAGCATAAGATACTGACTAGACAGGGTGTGAATACAGGGGACTGGAAATTAATGGTAATATCACTCAAGGACATCACAGATTAACATACTACTATATATTTGAGAGAATGTGTCTGTTTCTTCAAGAATTGCTCCTAAATAAAAAGAGCTAGGACCACCAAATCCAGTATAAAGTTTCCTCCCACCTTAATTCATACATTGTTGGCAGTTCCCCTCTGTCAGGGAGTGAGGGTAAGGTGCACAGCTTGCTTCATTCCTCACTCTGGGTGGGGAGCACAGGAGGCAAACAAATCTGTGCCTGCCCCAGCCAGGGGACATGCATCCCTCCCCTGGCTGTACCACTGGAGCTGCAGTGGCCATGGAGAGGTGCTTCTCACCTGGCCCCAAGCTGTTGTGGTGAGCAAGTGCTAGGGGAATCCTCTCTTCCCCAGAGCAGCCTTCATATTGAACCCCTCATCTCCAGCTCACTCTAGAGCAATGATTTAAATGAAGCATGTATGTTTTCATTTTATTTGCCAAACAAATAATTGAGTTAAGGACCCAAGCAATGCCAGGTAAATCATCTAAAGAGTTCAGGGGTGGGGAATCTCAGTCCCTTAGGCCGGATGTAGCCCTCAGCTTGCCTGGATCCAGCCCCTGATGCTCAGGGCTCCCCCCCAACATTGGGGAACCTACACTGGCACTCCAGCCCCCCTGCCACCCCACCATGGGGCTGCAGTGCACAAAATCTACTAACTTGGGCCCTAGTAGGCTCTGATGTATGTGGGGAGTGTTTTTTTCCTTCTCAGTCGGGCCACATCAGTGAGGTTTGTTTTGTTCTGTTCTGTTTTGATGTTTTGCTTCTCACTTGCGTGTGCCCCCTGAATTATTTTTCTGTGGGTCAACAGCCCCCAACCCCCAAAAAAGTTCCACACCCCTGCTCTAGTTCTATAATAAAGAAATGTGGGTTTGCAAAGCCAATCAATCCATGTTTCATCTGAAGGGTGCGCCAGGTCCAATTATAGATGAATCCCACCTTGGGAAGAAGTTAGATGGTCAATATAAAGAAAGAAAGCACAGAATAGAAGGAGGCTTCAGGGAGAAATTCTGCCTTCATTCTCTGCAAGATTCCTAGTTGTATCTGAAGGCAAGACAGCAGATCAAAGGGTTAATGGCAGTCCTGGCCTCCAATAGCTGAATCTGCCTCTGATTTCTTGCTCTGAAGGAGAGATGAACATTCATTGGTACTTCCAGCTTGTTCATCAGAAAGTTGCCATGTCCTGTCTTCCCCAAACACAAACGCACACATAACACCCAAAGATAGGATGCATTCCACTTAAGTTAAATGGCTTTTATGAAAGGGGGGGGGGTTCAAACAAGTATCTTGAGATTAGCGTGTAAGAGCAATTGAACTTCACAGGCTCAGCCTTCTCTATGGACAGACAGCAGATCTAAATACATACTAAAATTACAGTTGTGATCAGTGATGAAAAGTTGGATAGACAAAGCTAAGACCTCAGTTCCAATAATTCTGGCTGAACACAGTGCTCTGTTCTGTATAAACAATTATAATTAAGGGGATTATGTTGTATTTTCAATATCTAAATGGAGATAGTTATCATGCTATGCACCGAAGAGAAAGAGTATTAGTGTTGAAATACTTGGTTGGTAAGGAAATGCAGCAGCTAATCCTGGAAGCGGAGGAACAGAAATATGATATGTGAATCTTTGATTACAAAAGATTAGCTCTAGAAGGAAACATTAGAAGAGATTACAGAGAGCCTGCAGCAGACAAATGGAGTTTGAAAATTCATCAGCCACAAACATTTTAAATGTGAAAACTAATATGTCTGTCTCTTTGTTAGGGTTTTATTTCCCTTTGTCACTGGAGCTCTGTATTGAGATGATACTGGCAATAATTCTCCCATGATAACTGTTGTCCTGTTCCTGACATTTTTCTTCAGTTCAGCCACCTAAACTATCCCAATATTTTTGAATATAGCTGCTTCATTCCTAAAATGTTGGCTTTGTCTCCAATTCCAGTATTATCTGCAAACATTTTATAAATTCCAAAACTCAGAATTCTAACTATAGTAGTGTGAACAGATTTATTGACACTGGTTCAAGAGCTAGCCCACTCACAACATCTACAAAGTTTTCATCATTGCCTTCTCTTGTTAAGCTAGCTTTCCATCTGCCACCTTGTTCCCACTTGATACTTTCTTTCTTCACCCTATCTTGACATGAGGCATAGGTCTCTCCTGTAGATCCTTGCCAAGTGATTCAGTGAATGCCAGTGTGCGTATAGAATGTCTCTGGGAATCTGAGGAAGTGGGTCTGGCCCATGAAAGCTCATCACCTAATAAACCATCTTGTTATTCTTTAAAGTGCTACATAGTTCTGTCTTTTGTTCTGGCCTACCAGAATTCCTCAGAGAATCCAAACAACACATTCTTCTTTGAGTGATGTCCCTGTGGGTGCTCCACTGTTGTTGTTTGGCTCATCCCAGCACTGCAGATCAGAGTTTTGAACAGCAGTAGTCAGCCGGACCACACATGCGTGATCAGTGTCTTGTGACGTTCGTGCCTTTTTCCTCATGCATGCACAGTCTGGCTCCCACCAGTTCCTTTGTTGCCGCCCTCAGCTGCAGACGAAGCGAGCTCTTCTCCTCAACAGTTTAGTCACAAAAGAAAATAAGAATTCTCCTAGTTGTTAGCTGTTGTACGTAGTTCATAGTTCCAGTTCCAGTTATCAAGTTTGTTGTTTAAAAAAAATTGTTTTTCCTGGTTCACCGGCTGTTTCTCAGGCTGTTAAAAAAAAAAGGAGAGAGAGAAGAAGAAGCCATAGTTGAGGACGACTGATGACAGTTCCCCTCTCACAATGACAGGCTCATCGGGGTTCAAAAAATGCGACACTTCTTGCGATCCCATGCTTACCTCTGACGGGCATTCTTCTTGTATCAGATGCCTTGGAGAGCCCCATGTGCTTCAGAAATGCCTGCATTGTTTGAAGCTCACAGCCAGAGCTTGTTGGGACAGAGAGGTGCATCTCCACATGCTCCTGTTTGGCAAAGCACTACCGCCATCAGACTCAACATCATCCATGGCTCCCTCAGACCCTCCTATGGCCCAAAAATGGGGAGCTTCTTCCCCTACTATGGGATCCTCAGCAAAGAAATGCACCTCACTGGGGTGTTCCTTGCCAGCCATGCTGATGAGCAGGGTCAGCATTGCAGACAAGCCTGGTACATCTGGCACCACTCGTTCACATCCCAGGGCCGTCTGAGACTCGAAAGTATACCAAAGGGCACTGTCCGTGTCGACAGTGGGAGCAGACTCTTGCCATCTGGCACTGAAGGCACAGTCGGCAGTGGCAGCCACATCTACAAAAACCCCAGCACCGGCGTTTGCACCGCAACCAACACAACCACCACCACCATCAACCACACCGGCACAGGCATCCCACCTTCTGCTGGCACTGGACACACCTGATAGACTGATGACCCTGAAGAAGGCTCATGCAAAATCAGACAAGCCTCAAAGCTCAAGCCCTCGCTTCTCCAATCTTTTTAGCAGCACCATCCCCTTCGCCACCTGCACTGAGATCACCACAACACCGTAAGTCTCTCTCTCTCCATTACTTCCGACACTGGGGCATGGATTTCATTGCCTCTTTCTTCTCCCCCCTTCTCCAGGGGCTCAGTAATGCTTTCTCATTCCTCAGTCTTATCCGAGCGTGCAGTGTGTTAGGAGGAGCATAGGAGCATCTATTCTTCCAGGCACTCATCTCCAAGACATTTGTACTATGATCACCACAGATACTACCACAGTCGCCCACCGTATTGGACAACTGACCATCATCAGCATCAGCCCTCCTATTCTAGGCACTGGTCACCTTGCAGTTACAGATCCTCTCACCCACAGCAATATGATCCTTGTCCTCTGCCTACCCATAGACAACACATCCCACCTCGTATCTCTTCCTCTCCACCACACCATTCTGAACTGGAAGGTCAGTTATTGGAACCTGATGATCAGCAGCCCGATGCTTCTCCTACAGATCATTCATCTTCCTCTCCAGATGAATCCATTATCCCAGGGGTTATATCACCTATGGACGATTTTAAACAGTTCCAAGAACTGTTCAAAAGGGTAGCCATTAGCCAGGAGGTCTAACTAACTGAAGTTCAGGAGAAGCAATATTGCCTTCTTAAAAACCTCCAACCCTCCCAGCAAGCCAAGATTACATTACCAATGCACAAGGCCATTATGGAATCTGCCAAGGAGATCTTGCAGATCCCAGCCTTTGCCCTGCCTACCAATAAGAGGGCAGACTCTTTGTCCCATCTAAGGGTATGGAGTTGTTATTCTTGCACCCTCAACCCAATTCCCTAGTCGTAGATGCAACCCAATACAGGTCAAAGACTCCACAGTATAGGAACACTGCAGCTGAAAAAGAAAGCAAACACATGGACCTTTTTGGCTGGAAAATATGTTCTTCCTCAACACTATTATTGCACATCGCCAATTATGCCGCTTTCCTGTCTAACCACGACTTTGACAGTT